AAATTATAATATATCAATTAACATGTATGTTCTAAACTGTCTCATATTATCACTTATATTATATAACCACTAAGAACAACTATAAACAACCTAACGGATATGGGAACAAAACCAAGGAAATTCAAGGAAAAAAGGAAATAAAGCACTCTTTAGACTCATGGTTTAAATGAATGTGGTATTAATACTGTAAGAACACTAAAATTTTGATTATGCTTTTCTCTGAAATCAAAATGCATCCTACATTTTATACCGACTCCCAAACAAGAAAATGGAAACAAATTTATAGATTATACAATCTCATTTTCAAAAAGATACATTTTTAAGATTTATATATGTATGCTTTTATACAATTAGAGATTTCCTATATAGACACCAAGAAAATCATCCCTGTGGAAAGTGAGAATGGGAGCTTACAGAACTTTTACTTCTCCCTATGTACCCTTCCGCATAGTTTGAATTATGTACTTGTTCACAAAGGTATCTCTCAAGTTTGTTTTTTTTTTTTTTTTTAAATCAGGAACAATGTTTATAGTGTATTTTGCTTAAATGTTAAAAAGAAGAAAAGCTACATAATACATATATATGTATTAAAACTGATAACTGGGAGGGGCACATGAGGAAATGAAGAGGGAGACTTTTTATTCTATGTATCTGTGAATTGTTAATATCCTTTAAAAAATGAATTTGGGCATTACTGCTGTAACTTGTAATTACATAATATGCAGCTATATCACCAAATTTTTAGGTTTACATTTTACATAACCTGCTAAATTCATAGGAGTCAGGAAGATTCTCACCACATAGAGTTACAGAATGAGTGGTTAGCTTTACTTACTCTGATAATTATCTAAAGTCATCTAAAAAATGTAGGATTAGGTTTTTTAAGCAAAACCATCAGAGTATTTTTGGAAAAGACCCTATTTAAACAATGTTACTTGTACACAATGTTTTCAAAAGAATTTTACTTGCATACTGTGACTAATTTACAACAACAGTCCTTCCTCATTCTAGTTTGTTCACCTTTAAATTTATTTTGCAGAAAGCAATCTCACTGCCTTGAATCGAAAGATGAAGCAGTAGTTACAAGTATCTACAAAAAAATTTAAAAACTCCCTGATTACTATACCTTTGGGTAGAAAAATCCTGGTTTATGCTGAGATCTATAAAAATATCTTTTTTACCTGACAGGACCAACATATTGGCACTTCATATTTGGCACTTTATCCAATAACCTCGGCAGAACTGGATATAAATGTATTACATTTAGAAATCTCTCATCAAACAATAAACTGTAATGTTCATGTTATTATAATATGTTGGCTTTGAGAAGATATGTGAATAAAAAATTAAAAGATTAAAAAAAAAGAATTCTTACAAATAATAAAAAATGCTGATGAGGATGTGAAGGAAAAGGTGTACTCTTACACTACTGGTGGGACTGAAAATTAGTGCAACCACTCTGGAAAGCAGTGTGGTGATTCCTAAAAAGACTAGGAATGGAACCACCATACAACCCAGCTCTCCTGCTCCTCAGTATTTATCCAAAAGGTCTAAAATCAGCATATTAGAGCAATATACAGCCACTTCAATGTTCATAGCAGCACAATTCACAATGGCCAAATTATGGAATCAACCCAGATGCCCATCAACAGATGAATGGATTAAGAAAATGTGGAAATATATATGTATATACATATATACACATACACATGCACACAATGGAGTTTTGCTCAGCCATGAAGAATGAAATAATGGTATCTGCCAGCAAATGAATGGAAATAGAGAAAATAATGCTAAGTGAAATAAGCCAGACTCAGAAAATCAGGGGTATAATGTTTTCTCTCACATGTGGAAGCTAGAGCAAAACAATGGAAAGAAGGCAGTTGGGGAGGGGATTGAATATCATAAAGCAGGGAAGGTCAGGAAAGTAGGACAATTAAAGTGAGGAAGGAAGGAAGGGAAAGGGGAAGAAAAATGGGATACATTTAACAAAGTCATGTTATATTAATATATAAAGGTACCAAAGGGATTTCACCTTTATGTATATGTAGAACAAAGGAAGTTTAGAGGAATAGGGGAGGGAGAATAAAGGGAGATGGGGAGAAAAGGTGAGGGAAGGATGGGGACTGAATTCAAATTCCTTCCAGGTACGATTTTGTCAAAATTAACCTGAATACTATGCATAATTATAATGCTGTAATAAAAAAATTAATTAAAAAAAAAGAGTTCTGGAGCCAGGATATAATTTAGTCAGTACAACATGTGCATGGCCTAGGGTTTGATCCCTGGCATTAGAGGGGGGAAAAAAAGTTCTGAAATGGAAGTCATAATGATCAGAGCTCTAGAGCAGCCCATCATTAATTTGCTCTGTGACCTACCTTGGACAAATCACTTTTACCTCTTTGAACCCTAGTTTCCCCCAACTATAGAACAAAAGAGAGAAGGCTTAGAGAATCTTATTTTCCAGAATCCCTAGTATCTAAGAGAAGTTAGTAAATCTATAGACCCTAATACTAAAAGTGTTTGCACCAAAAATTTTGCTTACAATTTCCTTTGATATCCATCCTGAACTCTCAAAGACTTTGTGCTAAAAGTTCTCTTAAGATTGTTCTATGCACTATAATTCTACTAAGTTCATAAAAGAACTATATGGCTAACCTAATGGAAGAAGTATGCAAATAATATTAGTAACAAAATATATTACTAATTATCTTGAATATGAAATCTTATTAACAGCTTAAGTATAGCAATTTACTATATAAAAAAGTCAACTCACAGCCAGGCACAGTGGCACATGCCTAAAATCCCAGAGGCTCAGGAAGCTGAGATGGGAGGGTCTTGAGTTCAAGGCCAGCTCATCAAAGCAAAGCACTAAACAACTCAAGGAGACTCTATCTCTAAATAAAATACAAAATAGGGCTGGGGATGTGGCTCAGTGGTCGCAGGCCCCCCGAGTTCAATCCCTGGTACCCTCCGAAAAAAGTCAACTCAGACACATAGATAGATAGATGCTAGAATCATCATTTTTAGTTACATATTTTAATGCTTAATAATCAAAGGATCAATAATAATTTTAACTATCACTAAATGCATTAATTTATATCCTGTCTGGTTCTACTATCCTATAGGTTAAGAACCACAGGCTAGTAACAGACAAACAGGAGTGTGAATCCTCAATCTTACATTTTCCATGTAAATTACTTAGCGCCTACATGTTTGAGTTCCTTAGTCTACAAAATGAAAATGAGAGTAATAATATCTGTAGCTCAGAGTTACTGAGAATGCACTCAATAAATGATAGCTATTAATAATAATAAATTTGAATATAACCTTTACATTGAGGAAGTAAGGATGTAATTCCAAAAAAGTAATTTCCTATTTTTAATAACATTTTTTCAATACTCTTCTCTGAAATGATAAAAAGCATGTAAACAGGTATCTATATAACATATGAGAGGTAGTGGGGTAGAATGGAAGGAGAGAAAATCCAGCTTTAGAGTCAGACCCAAGTTCAAGACCTAATTCAGTCACCTAGTAGTCATATAACCCTGGCTCCTTAAAGCTGAAGAAGGACTCATCGAATAGGTAAAGTATGTAAAGCATCAAGTTCAATATCTAGGATTCATTAAATAGTACTTACTATCATTTTCTTACCTACCCTTCATAGCTTATAAAAAAACAGTACAGGAAAGGTACTGGTAAGTACTAACACAGATTATAAAAGGCCAATGATGAACACTGATTTTATCCATGTAAGTAAAAAAGTAATGTTGTTTGTCTGGGTCATATACTCCTTCCAGACTCTAATGAAAATAGGGCCACTAACTCACAGGAAAAGTTCAATAAGACCTATATGTCAGGGACTTTAAGAACCTTGTGTTAAAGGGGATACTAGCTAGTTTATCAAGAATTTGGAAATGTTATCTAGCCAGCTTTGTAGCAAAACCATACATTATCTTGACTCATAAGCAAGCAAGTAAATCCTCCTTTTATTAGACTTGTCAATTTCTTAAGAAGCTAAAATATCTAGTGGTGTGTATTGAAACAAAACTTGATAGATGAAACTACAAACCATGCTGGCATGATGTTAGATCACATAACCTTATCATCGAACCAAAAGGAAAAAAGAAAATTAAGTCTGGCTGCATTCAATTATTTGAACGTTTGAACCAATTCAAGTAATCAAATAAACATCTACCGTTCAAAAAACTACAAACATGTCTTAATTTACAAAAACAAAGCTGAGCCAGCAAACATAAAAGTTTACTGAATGACTGAATGTAGTTTATCCTTACTTCTACTCCCTGAATGGCTTCTCAAACTCCCTGAGTAAATAACCTCATCAAACTATTTACTGTAGCATAAGAACGAAGTTAAAGAGTACCAAAGACTCAATTCTCCGAATGAGCGACCCAGAAGGAGCTGGGTACTGGACCAAGTTTTGCCCCAATGACCTTGGTCCCAAAGATTCCGGTCCCTCCCTCCAGCCGGTCTTTCCACGTGCTGCCGGCGCGGTTACCCCAAAGGTGGCTGGCTGCACGTCAGGGAAAGCGCTAGAAGACCCGAAAGCACGAAGGGAACAAGGGTTGCTAACAGCACCTGGACGGTGCCATCCCTTCCCTCCTGGCACCGACTCCTCCCGCGGCGCGCACACTGACCCACAAATTTTCTTGACCTCCCTGCCAGCTCCTTGCTCTAAGATCCAGTCTGCCAGGCACCGTGTAAAGTGAAGCCCGTAACACAGGAAACCTTCTACGTTCCAATACCCTGCTAAGGAGATGGACATCCAGGAAATGGGGACAGTCCTAGAAAACGGGGACCAAGGCAGGAGGAAAGTAGGATGGAGACTCCTGCGCCACGCCACCGCCACCTCCTCCTCCGCTTCCAAAGCTCCCCGGAGGCCCTTCCCGGTCGCTGGCCCAGCGGGCGGCAAGGCCTGACGTAGCAGAGCCAGCCGGCGGCCCGTGGATCCCGGGGTCCCGTGGGGGCAGCGTCCTCACCATCAGAACTTTGGCCGCGTTCTCCAGCTGAGCGATCACTTCTGGGGGCCCCAGCGCCGCCGCCATCATGGTCTCTCTTCAATGACGCGCCATGCGCTGCATTATGGGAGCGGGCGCCGCGACCGGCCAATCGCCGCCACGACCCCGGAGCCTCACGCGCTCCCGAGGCCGTCGCAGCCGTGGTCGACGCCGGCGTGGCGGCCTCGGCGGGGCTAACAGTGCCGCCGGGTCCTGGGCGGCCAAGAGGAGACGAGTGTGAGCCAGGCCGCCGCGCTACCGTGAAGGCGGCTGCAGCCGGCGCCGGGCGAGACCGGGCTATCCGCCTAGACCGCGACGGCCGCACGTCCCACTCGGCTCTGAGTTCCGCGCATGCGTGCTCTTCTGCGCGCGGGTCTCCTGGCCCCCAGCTGGTGCCTTGAGACCCAGCACCCGGCCACGCGCGGACGCATGCTCCCTCCCTCAGGGTCCTGCCATCCACCTCGCGTGCTCCTGCTGCTCCTTTCCTTTCCAAACTTTAATGCTAAGCGGGATTTCTTAGTCTTGGAACTGCTGTGCCCGCTTCCCGATTCTGAGAGCGCACCTCCTCTCAGAACGTCTGTTTCACTGCTCCTTCTTACCACAGGAGGAAGCATTCCAGGATAGAACTCTTCGTTTTCTTAATGGAACTCCTTTGTCCCGAGAGTTATCTAAACTTATATGGACCGCGAATCGCTGAGAGACCCGAACAGGAAAGCCCACCCTTAGCACTTAACCATTTTCACTTCCCAAGGGCTGTCTCCTATAGAAGGAAAAAGCAGGGACGCAAAACCTTGACCTTGACCGCCTGGTTCCTTGAATGCAGTAAGACCTCAATTGCCATCAGCTTTGTCTTGTTTAGGGAATTTATAATCGTAATATTAAATATACAATATGTGATGAAAGGTGTATTCAAGTATCTGTATCCCTCCAGCGCTTCAGTCTTTTTTTACAACATTCCAATTCAAGTAATCAAATGCTATTTCATTGTTCAAACTAGTTTTAACCGCACGATGGTTTGAGTAAGGGGCTTGTTTTAAGTTGACATCTCTTCTGTAACTTGTACCTTTTGGTGCCTGTTCTGCTTTTTGGAACTGCATCAGAATTTCATTATTAACTCCATTATTTCTTGTATTTGACTTGTCTACAACTTGAAATTGAGAAAGTAAATTAATGAGATTTCTATTGTTTGAGAAAGGAAATACCTTTTATTTCATTACCAAAGAGTAAAGTGATCCAAAATGCAGTTAATAGTCCTTTTTTAAGAAGTGTATGAACCTAAGTGGTTATCATAGTACCTGACAAATAGTACTCAACAAATATTCTACCAAGTTTAGAAATCTTCAAAAAGATTGCATAATGACTCTAGCTTCAACCAAACATAATTAACCTAAGATCAATTATATATCTGCAGATATATAATAAATGAAGTTTGTGACATTAAATGTTTGAGGCTTAATAAATACTTCAGATTGGGCCTTAGATTACAAAGCATTTGTTTTGTGCAATTATGTAAGAACTTCACAACTAGGCATGCTTTAAGAAAGAGGAGGAAAGTGAATGTACCACAATGAATCCTTTTATATATATAATGCACTATATCTTTATATTACATATAGTGTATATATATAGTATTATATATAGTATATATTGTAAATAATATATAGTATGCATAATATTTATAATTTTTAGTATATATCACATATAGTATATACTTATAATGCACTAATTAAAATAGTAATAATAATAGAAGGGATATCAGTACAATAAGTGAATCAGTAGAGGGGAGAGGGTAGGAAAATGAAGGTACTAGTGAATAAAACTGATCAAATTAAGTGCATGTATAATTATAGCATAAAGAATCCCACTATTATGTATAATTATAATGCACCAATAAAAAATACATTTAAAATTTTTTTAAATTTTTTAAATTTTTTTTAGTTGTTGATGGACCTTTATTTTTTATTTATTTGTATATGGTGCTGAGAATCGAACCCAGTGCTTCACATATGTAGGCAAGCACTTTTCCACTGAGCTACAGTCCCAACCCTCAAAAATATTTTAAAAGAAAAAAAAGAAAGAAAAATATTAAATATGAAGATGAATATGCTTCCTTTCACATTAACATTGTTTTTAATTTGAGGCTTTTTTTTTTTAAGTGGTACTGAGCATCAGACTTGGGGCCTTGCATGTGCCAGGCAAGTGCTCTGCCATTGAGCTACATCACCAGCATGAATTTGAGGCTTTATAAAGTAAGTTATAGCATCTCACATAACTGGGAGCCATAACTTCAGTGCAAAATTGAAGTTGTAGAATCTCAATATCGGAAGCACTTTAAATGTCACCTTTTTATTTTTTAACTCTCTTCCAATACCTAACACTTGTTATTCTTTGACTCATTATTCAATAATAACATTCTAGGAATCATTAGAGTAGTATTTCAGCCTATCCTGCTTGTTCTTCACATCCTAAAATAGAAGAAGAGAAGAAATTTCAAACAATTTGCCACTAGGCATGAGAGAAATGTTTATAGTCTAGAAAAGGGTAGATGCCTGGTTAAAATCAAGAACATTTTACTAATACGTCCCCCCTAGTTTCAGAGTATTCTTTGTACACCTGTGATGCCTTAGGCTCCAAAACATCCCTTTTTATTCTTTGCCAATGGGGTTTGCTTTATAGACAAATTTATTTTCTGTCTTTCTTAAATAGTTACTTTCTGGAAACATTTGTTAAGCCAAAATATAGCTGCTCACCATCCCTGCTACTGACATTCTGGTGCAAAAGGATAGCCAATTGTTGTACATAATAGATAATGCTAGTTTAAAACTAGAAGATAATGTAGAGAGTATAGAATCTTAAGATTTGGGGACTGAAAATACTTTTAAGGATTTTCTGGTTTTCAGATTTAAAAAATAAGACCAAAGAAGTTAAATGACTTAGGAGGTACAACTTAAAGGTGTGAAGTCAAATATGAATGCAAGGTTTTGCTGTTATTATGGAATGCCAATCACTTGAGTATTTATTTATCACAGTGCTTAATGCTGTAAGTTATTGAAATTGGAGACATCTTTGCTTCCAAAGAATTTGAAATATATATTAAAAGATAAGACTAACATTTAAAATAAGTGCCAGGGGTGTAGCTCAGCAGCAGAATGCTTGCCTAGCATGAGTAAGACACTGGGTTCGATCCTCAGTACCACATAAACAAATAAATAAATAAAATAAAGGCATTCTGTCCATCTACAACTACAAAATAAAATAAAATAATAATAACAGTTAATTCATTCATATTCCATCACTTCTCTCATTTCTTTCCATTTTCTATGCTATAAAAAGTACATTTGTCTTTGCCCCTGATTCTGGGAAGAATGCACCTGGATGGTAGGATATTTTTTGTTATTCATGACAAGCCCCTTGTAATCACACCTGAGTTTGAGCTAATGAGGTATCCTAGGATGGACTGGTCATGAGAAAGACAAAGTAATTAGAAGGTTAGAACTTTGTCTCACCCACTGGCCTCTGAGAAGGAAAGGGGGAGAAGCATACACTAGAAATTTGAGTTATTCCACAAGGAGATGGAGGTTGATAAATCCATCCCCCCATGTGTATGGACACACCCAAACTTAGTGAAGACAGAGGCTCCTGTGCTTAAGACTCTTCCACACCTCACACTATGTGGCTCTTCATCTGGCTGTTCACTATGTTCTTTATAATAAACTGGTAGATGTCAGTAGTGTTTTCCTGAGTTCTGTAGGTCATTCTAGCAAATTATTAAACCTGAAAAGGGGATTTTTAGAATCCTTAGCTTAGACTCAGCACATCAGATCTGTGAGTGGCCTCCAGGACTTGTTACTGCCAACTGCCTTCTGAACTAAAGAAATTCTGTGAGACTGAACCCTTGGCTTCTGGAGTCTGCAGTAGCTATGAGTAGTTAAGGTCAGAATTAAATTGACCTTAGAATACCCAGTTAGTGTTGGAGAATTACAGACCAACATATGGATTATTGAAATATTTAAGAATTTGATATCAATAATGAATATCCTAAGGGGTGAGGCTGTAACTCAGCAGTAGAGTGCATGCTTCACATGTGTAAGGCCATGGGTTCAATCCCTAGTACTGAAAAGGTAAATAAACAAAATATGCCAATCAATTTGATACTGATACTATATGATAGTTTATGTTTCCAACACAATTACCAAATGAAGGACACAAAGTCATTTCCATCTATTAACTCATTCAATTCTTGTAAAAACCTTATGAGATAAATAGTTATTTAATTCAAAATACAAATGAGAAAATTGAGGTAGACAATAGTTGAGTAACATGCCTCAGAAATAGTGGAACTGGGACTTGAAATCACACAAATTATCTTTTCCAATTACAATGAAATGAAACTAGAAATTAACAGCATAAGGAAAATAAGAAAATTCACAAATATGTGAAAATTAAACACCATACTCTTTTAAACAATGAAAGGATCGAAGAAGAATTCAAAAGGTAAGCTAGAAAATATTTTGATACAAATGTAATAAAAACACAACATATCAAAAGTTGTGGGATGTAGCAAAAGCTGTGCAAAGAGGAAACTGCATAGCTGTAAACAAAAAGAAGAAAGATCTCAATCAATATCCTAACTTTACACTTTAAAGAAATAAAAAAAGGCAAAACTACACCTAAAGCTAGCAGAATTAAGAAAATTAAGATTAGCTGGGTGCAATGGCACGTACCAGTAATCCTAGCAATTTTGGAGGCTAAAACAGGAGGATCACAAGTTTGAGAGCAGACTCAGCATTTGTAAGACCCTTTCTCAAAATTTTTTGTTTGTTTTAATATTTTTTTAGCTGCAGATGTACACAATATCTTTATTTTGTTTATTTTTATGTGGTGCTGGGATAGAACCCAGTGCCTCACACATGCTTGGCAAACTCTGTACCACTGAGACACAGCCCTGGACCATGTTTTTTTTTTTTGTTGTTGTTGTTGTTGTTTTGGTTTTGGTGGTGCTGGGGACTGAACCCAGGGCCTGGTGCATGCTATGCAACTGAGCTATATCCCTAGCCCCTCTTTCTCAAAATTTTAAAAAATAAAATAAAAAGAGCAAGAATTATAGTTCAGTAGTAAAAGGACCCTGGGTTAAATTCCCAGTATCCCCTCTTCCCCAAAAAAGAAAAGAAAAAGGTTAAACAGATAAATGAAATAAAAAATAGGAAAAAAAGCAATGAAATGAAGAAGTTGTTTTTTGAAAATATCAACAAATTAGAAAAATTAAGAAAGAAAATTTAAATAAAGTAAGAAATGAAATGGGATATTA